CCTCTTCCCTGAGAATCAGCAGTAGGCAAGCCTATTTCAACAAGAGTCCATGGCCAGCCCAGCCCCCCTCTCGTCCCCCCGAACGGCACCCCAAACGGCGGCGACCCCTTTGGTCGCCGCCCAAGGCCGCCGGCCTGAGGCCGCCGGCCCCGGCCGTTGCCGCGGCTTTGACTCCGCAGGGCGCCTCCGAGACCCGCCCCGTCGCGCACCGCGCACGCCCGATCACCTGGGCCGGCGGGCGGCGCTCTCTGGCGCCGCGTGCGCCCGCGCTGGCCGGTGGAGCTGGCTGCCGTCGAGGTCGCAGCTGCGTGCGTCTGCCTGCATTCGCTTGCCCGGGAGCGGCGTGATGCTGGAGGTGGGCGGAAGCGTTTCTTGCAGCGCGGGGTTGGTGTTTCCTGCCTGGGGGGCCGTTCCTGTCTTTCAACCATCCAACAAATCCCCAAAGGGACACCCAGGATTACAATTCAACAATAGAATCTTGATACATAGTCTCAGTTAGCAGTCACACTTGTAACTTCAGCTTTCAAGACTTTCTTCAAAAGGCACAGCACCATTCAATGCATTGAACTTGTCAAATGTGGGGTGTTAACAGGATGTCGATAACTGTGGCTTAGCTAACCCTGCTCGGAAGGGGCCATAGCTGGTATACCAGCCTCAGCTGGTAAGTGGCACTCTCCCAGCCGCTTGGTACTCCAATATCATGCTGGGTCTATGAGCGTTCACAGACTGTGAGCCCAGTTTATTCTTCTAAATTCCCAAATATATTCTTAAATGCTGTTTTAAATTGACTGTGCTAGTATATACTGTTTTGTTAGAGTTTTATTGTATAACTTCTCTGAGAGTTTTGTGCTAATGAAAAGGATATAAAAACCTAAATAAATGCAGTGTAATAATAATTCAGAAAGCCATATTTGCATATATATTCTTTATTTCAGTGGGCAGAGAAGTAGTATCCTGCATTCTCGGCTGACCTGTATGAGTACTTCATTAAAATCTGCTCCACTGAATGTAGCCCAAGATGCCCTTGGTCATGTAACTGTCTGTAATCACATGTGAGCTGCAGTGTCTCTGGAGATGTCTGCCAGATGTGTCAAGGCACAAGTGGGTTAGTGCACCCACGGACATGCCAGTGATCCATTTTGTCTAGGGCCAAATGAGATTTATTTTGTGTGAGGTATTAGTGACTATGTGAACCAGCCTGGTTAGCTGGTCAATATGAGCAAATACGAAAGATGTAGCCAAATAATTTTGTTACACTTGGAGACCATGAGTTTAAAGTACAATGATTTTAAGTTTGTTTTTCATTATGGTAATGTAATTGGCACATGTGGGTCAGGTAATAAACTGTGGAGAATTATTTTCCTTCCTTGATTGTGCCAACTAACCTATTGTGTATGACAATATAATCTGCACAGAATGCACCCTTTACATGAAACACTTAGACACTAAAACAGCTTCAAGATTAGTTTGCTCATAAGTGGCTACTCATATCACAAATTGATTGCTACTTTTAATAGAAACCTACTGAGTTTCTGTTGATTTTAACATATGTATTGCAACTTTTTCCAACCTGGCACCCTGCAGGTGTTCTACCTTTGCTTCAAATCAATCCCAGCCAGTATGACCAATGGTCAGAAATGTTAGGAGTTGTACAAAACAACATCT